CTGTGCGAAAGGACTGTTAAGTGCAGGCATATGTGTGAGAGAGACAGAGAGAGAAAGAGATGGTCTGAGTGCCTAATTATAAGGTTTGAACCCTCCTAAGTGAACTAAAAGTCAGAATACGAGGTGAAGTGGGTTTGAAGGTTAACAGTCCTCCTGCTTTTCCCTGTCCACCAACACACGCTGTGGACAGAAATACACACTATGCAAATGCTTTCTGGCATTTAACATCTGTGCAACAGTGAGATCCCTATTACTAAAGGAAGGCTGCTCACTGCAAGGACATTAATGCTTTTTATCTCGTCAACAGTCCCTTTAGTTTGTGGCAATGTTACACAACATGTAGACTTTCCCACAGGGAAGACGTCCAACCCTGTTTCCAGAAAAGTTTGAATGTTGCCTTAAATATACATGGGAACAGAACATGATACATACAATGTTAAAATTTAGATTTAAAAAATATGATCATTTTGAATTTGATGCTTGTGGCACATTTCAAAAACGTTTGGTCAGTAAAAGGCGTCAAATGCTCAAAAAAAAAAAAAATCACCTGGTCAAACTCCTACCTAACAGTCAGTGCAGTTAGTCGCATGAGTGAAAAAAGAGCTTCCCAGAAATCTGAAATAAATGTATTTTCACCAAAACAAGTTGTCTTTGTGAGTTTTATTTAGCTTTTGCAAAGGGGTGAAACAATAAATACAGAATGTGGCAGCAGCCTGCGTATGTGGCCAAGAAGATTTACAAGCACAGAGGTTTGGCCTCAAAAGTAAAAATGAGGTGGGATTTACAACTGTGTGATAGACTGCACTGCACTAGCAAATATTTCAGCATTTTCATGTTTTTCCAACATAAAAATACAAAGAATTCAGTGATTTAATAACCTGTGATATGTATCACTGAAAGATTCCGAGAACGAAGAGAAACTTCTACATGCAAATAAACAGGTGTTAGTTTCAGACCATGGGGCAACGCTGTAGAAGACAAAACGTTGTGGTAATTATTAGATGAGCTCAGAAACACTATTTGAACCCCGTGCAAACCAAGTGCAAACCGGAGAATTTAGCAATAGCAGCAGCAGTACACTGTATTCAATTTCGTCTAGAGCTAATAATCACTCACAGTAAGTTTCTGGTTTGCAACAGCAGTGCTTTGTGCTAAACGCTAACCTGACTGTGCATAAATACGCTCAATGAAAACATGAAATCACAATTTTTAGTGTAACATTTCCGTCCACTATTTTAGGCAGTCGTCCTTTGCTTTTTAGCAATATACAACAAAAGTGTCCCGGTGCTAAAGTGAATTAAGGCATTAGTTGATTTTATGTCATAAATAAAAATCTCAACTGATGGTGGCACAGGAAATTAAAGGATAAACTCTACTGAAAAGTAAATGAGCATCAAATTTCATGATAATCCATTCAATTTTACTAAAAGCCTGAGTATCAGCCAAGGCTGTTCTAAAGATAAAGTCGGGGGATGATCTGAGGATCCATTGTCTAGGCAGCATGGGTGTCCAATCTACTCCAGAGTATTTGTGGAGCTCTAAATTGCTCTGGCTGCACACTCTCACAGCATACTATCGCTGAGCGCACATGAACTGCTGTTGGAAAACTACACTGGCTGAGCCTGCTTTTTCTGTTTTGTCCAAGCTGATGGAGTGCACATTGCCCGTGGCTGTTGTGCCCTTAAAATACACTCTCTAAGCAATTTATTAATACCTACACAACCCCTCTGCACACATAGTTGCAGAAAGTTGTTGCACAGATGGAATCGATGCAAAGAAACTGGGGACAATAAAACAATTAACTCTAGGACTGCCTTGCAGGTTCAAGAGTGGACAGCCAGTCAGATTTATACAAGACATCCATTTCAGTTAGCTGTTGTGTTGAATCACGTTATTGGTTGATAACACCGTAACATACGATGTATGTCACTGCTGATTAATACATTTTTAAGTTGAATGAAAAGTAAAATGGTAGACCTGGTATGTTTAATCCATGACATGTAGTGTTGCCATAAAAGACATAAAAGTTGATACTTTTAATACCAAACACACTGAGTATTAAATGCAGGCAGTCTGACAGCGGTAAGAAATCTGTTCATTCATTTCACGGCAAAAACTTGTTCAAATAGGACAATACTGTAGTCATCGGACCATCTTCACCTCCTGTGTAATAATAGATGAAACAACCTATCAGACACACACCAGGGGCGACAAAGAATTGTTGTTAAGCCAACTGAACTCATCAGACTTGTGGTTCTTACAGTAGGTTTCCTTTGGATCCTTTTTGGATATATTTTTAAGATGTCATACATACACTGACAGGACAATTACTATTTAAAGAAATATTTGGGCTTACTTTCAAAATATAACTTGAATATTTTCCTTGAATTTATTCACATTTGAGAAGAGAAACAAATAATTACTGCCAAACCATGATGTGACACAACAAACAGCGAGCGTTTTGTTAAAAAAAAAAAAAGAAAAAAAGAAAAGAAACTACTGAGGAAGATTAAACCTGGCAAACTAGGGCTTTCAACCAGCTGCCATACTAAATTTATGACAGAAGGGGGCAGAATCAGGTCATTCATATAATTAAATAATCTTGATGTGACGCCTCAACTGGTTTTCCTCATGTTTCCTAATGTGTGACACTCTATTCCCAGGGGGTGTGGACTTTGTGATTGAGGTTCTAGTTCAGCTGGGACTAAACTAGAACTACACGGTTTGCAGACTGAGCTGTATATCCACGTTTTAGAGACTGATGTGTGAGAATGGGGGTGAAAATTAGCTGGACGGGATGACGGAGAGAATCTCTTTCCATTCCCTGGCTCCTGATTTCTTTATCTGGCTCACTGACCTGTGGCCACAGTGATGATCTTGTCTGCACGGTGAATTGAAAGATCACCAGATCTCATTTTAGATTGGCCGCCTTTACTCGGTGGCTGCACACTCAACATGTCATTTATGAAGCAGGTTGAGCGCAAACGATTGGGGGAAAGAGGGCAGCAGACCAGTGCATGGGGAAAACCCATTTCATAGCAAATGGGCTTTTCGCCGTCACGCAGACACAGACACAGTGTCAGGCACAGCCGCTGAGTCCAGTCAGCACTACGCTGTCAGCTCCCGGTTCCCCATTTGTCTCTTTATGTCTGTCATCTTTATATCAAGAGACTAAAAATACAGCTGAAGACCTCAAACTGTTTCCTAACTCGGTTCAAGACAAATCAATCAATCACTGGGACATGTCCAATCTTTGTGAGTGTTAATAATCTTAATATCAGTGGTTTGCAAATGAACTGTTACCTCCTCATACATCATCAATCACAGTCTCTCACATCTTTTAAATACAACTGTACACCACAAATGCTGTTATCAAAAACTCAGTATTCTCTGTTATGATTTCAGTGGCCTAACTGTTTACAGTGAGCTAAACCAGTGGCTATTTAAGACACAGCCATGGTCTCAAATCTCAAATGGAGAATTCTGCAACAGTCTTTTAAAGCATTTATCAAATTTGATGTGTTATCCTGTACCTGCACCCTTTAAAAAAAAAAAAAAGTCTTGATTTGAAATCTAAATGAATTTGGAAAATTCAGGGAGTGAGCTTTCTAGGAGTTTGGCTAAAGACGTCCCAATTTGACTCCCACTAAAGTGTCTCCCCTGAGTCTTTATATTCCACAGCAGAGGCAACAGACCGAACTGTATGAACTGCCTTTTGATTGTCTCGTCTCTACAATGGACCTGCTGAAGCCAGCTACAGCTGATAAAGTGATGGTAGGAGCTATTTAGTTTGCTGATTAAAAAGTAGTAAGAGTTGTTGTATATTTTAAATTTAGTTTAAAATATCCAAACCCTGTTATTTAGTTTATCTCCTTCTTTTGATTAGTTTACTAACTGCATTATTTTAAAAGAGCAGAGAAACACCAGGAGGCTCTCATATTTCATACAGCCTGTTAAAGGACCAGCATGCATGAGGGGCCTATTTTTTCCAGAGTAATAGAACCCACAGGACAAACTATTTTTTTTTTTGTTCTATTGTTTGCTTGCTCGCATTTGATAAATAACCCAGAAAACATATAGAACAAGTTTGTAATAGACTTCTTTTGCCCAAGTACTATACACACAGTGCATCAGTGCCTCTTAAGTTAGGTTTGACTTTGGGGCACAGTTCAGCCTGCAGCTGGCTCGGGACATGGAGCTCAATGAATGTGATTATGAGACTTTTTTTTGCTTCTCAGAAATATTAAACCAGAGCATCCATTCTGTTTAACTGTGAAATTTTAATTTCATGCTTTAAAGAGCACAAATTCAGGTGTGAAATGAGCTGATCTCTTACCTTTTTTTATTTTTTTATTTAAGTTTCATCTTATTCGGTTTAGTCAGCATGCAAAATGATCATGTATTGATCTTGGCCTAAAGACTATTTACCCGTTTAAAAACTACAAAAAAGTTACTCTTTTTTTTCCCCCTTCAGGAACACATGTATGAGAAATATCTGCAGCAATTAAGCAATTTTCAACCACCAACATTGCAACGCTGGGAGATAACATCTGCTGCATTCAGGGCACTCTGCGGTCGACTCCAATTAAAGAAGCAAATTTCTGCTGTGCCCAGCAGTGATTTTGATTAAAACAGAAAAGCAAATCCATTTGCGATGGCCCTCATACTCCTCCCCCCCATCCCAGCCTGCATCCTAACAAATGGTGAGACACAACCGTAAGCTTTCTCTTGTGTATTACACCATGCACACTGCATTATTCACCCCAGCCTATTTTTCTTTACAAAATGTGAATTGTATTTATTTTTGGGGGGTTGAGAAACTGAACCAATTCAGAAACAAATGATGCAGACCTTCTCAAATGAAAATGATTAATGCGGAGAGGATAGTCAGCTGCTTCCTTGCATTATTCAGTTAATAAAGCACATTTCATAAAGGAAAAAACACGGACTGGTCTATTAGTCATGTTGTTTTGGGTGGAAATAATCAAGGAGGCTTGATATTAAGACACAATTTCTGTTTACTTGTTTTTCAAACTGCCACACTGTCAAAAAGAGAAGCCACATGACAAACGACTGCAAACACGTGACATTTATTTCCAAGATGAAAATCCGTGTTACCAGTGGTTGATGAATCTTATTGATAGCTACTCAGACACATCTCGATGCCAATTTTAATCTAAGCTCTTTGGACGCTTGGCTTGTTTTTATCAACACCTGCTTTATCAGTTCATAATCAGGCAGCATTATTCAGTGGAGATTTTCTATATTTATTGTGTGCAGGTGCACAGTGTATGATTTCAAGTGGGGGGATGAGTGCATTTGATGCTCGAATGTAACCTGAGAGAGGGCAGCAAAGAGCCATATGTTTGAACAGATTGATTTAACGGTTTCATGCTTTAATCAGAAGCTGTGTTGGATCGACTCAAAGACAAATCTGGTCCCCAGGACAACTGCAGCATCTGTTTGAAGAACACTGCTCTGACACAAGGTGCCTGATTAGCACAGATAAAGTCACCAGTCGCTTAATGAAGCACTTAACAGCATCCTTTGTAGATATTATTACCAATTCCAGTACGAACAAAAGTAACGCTGCACTGAGCATGTGCTGTTGGTCATATGGATTCTTTATTGTCATTTACAAAGATACAAAAGTCAGCTGACTCAGTTGTTTGCTGATCTTTCCTGGGATGTAGATGCTGTGTTGTGTGAATTCATTACTCTCTTACTCTCTCCTGATGTTACTCCAAACTTTTGAACTTGACACAGGGAACATGCGCACGTCATCAATGTGTTTAAATATACTCTCATGTGAGTCACTGTCAGTGTTGAGCCAGAAAATAAAAATGACACACGCTGAGGTGTTTCCTGGGTCTCGAGCGTTACATGAATCTGCCGCGTGAGTCATTATGCCGATGTCGACGAGGAAAAGCAGCATCAGTCTCCTTGTCCTCCCACTCTGTCTCTTGGAATGAGGCGAAGCTCTGAGCCGTGCTTCAGAAACACATTCCCTGCAACACAAGGCAGAGCACTATATAAAGATCATGGTTCATAATCAGCTTGCTTTAATAAGGGGTTTTATTGTCACCAAAGCTGCCAACAACATGTCAACTCACCAGCTGGGAGAAAAACTTGACAAAAAAAGCATGCAATCTCTGACTCAAAGTCTTGGATTCGATTACAACTTGAACACAGATTCAGTCTTCACACAGACGCTTTGAGCTGGAACGATCTCTAAACTGACAGATGAAAAAAATCCTAGTGCCTAATTTTCAGCTCTTCAGTCAGCCTACATAAACCATGCATGCATTTTAAGCAGTTCTTATTGGCATATGTGCACCTTTGCTATTTTCCAAAAGAAGTGTGATTTTAACCTTGTTGGGAAAAAAAAAGAACTTGACAGATTGATTTCCACCATCTCAGTCCTGTAAACAGGAGGTGGAGTGGCTGCAGTGGGTGAAAAAAAGCCAATCTGACAGAGGTTTCTGAACTGCTGCTATTCTTGGCAGCACAGCGCATGAGTGTAACTCGGATAAAAAGCTGAATGCCCACCAATGTCCTTCCTCAGCAGAAGAGACCCAATGCATAAGGAGAAGTAGGCCAAACTTCTACAGTTCTGATCACATTCAACCTATAATATAAATGTGACAAGATCTCCGAGTATGACCAGTGGCGATGAAGTCCTGCAATTCTTTGTAAAGAGACTGGCTGAATGATTAGTAAGATTTTCAATACTTGCTTATCAAGGTAGCACTGTGACATCTCTGCCCTCCCAAATTCACATCTAACTTGTAAGATCCAAAACCAACCAACACTATTTTATCCCCTTTTTTTAAGTAAATCAAAGACAACCTCATTAAAAACACATTTCAGCTACCAAACAAATGGAAGATTGTTCAGGTGGCTGCAGTAGACTCAGATCGGTTAAACAGAGAACATTAATATCAGGCTGCTCTCTCTTTTGCCTTCAGAGCTGTCTTAATTCTTCCAAGTCATAGATTTAACAAGGTGCATAAAACATTCCTTAGAAAATTTTGGTCCACCTTGACATGATACTATCAGACAATTGTTGCAGATTGGTCGGTTCATAACTCTCCCATTCCATCACATCCCAAATATACTCTAGTGGATTTAGATTTGGTGACTGATGAGGCCATTTAAGAACAGTCTACTCATTCGAATGTTCAAGAAACCAGCTGAGAGGATTGGAGCTTTGACATGACGTGTTATCCTGCTGGAAGCAGCCATCAGAAGAACAATACACTATGCTCATAAAGAGATGAACATGATCAGCAATGCTCAATAAGCAATGCTCAGTTGATACTAATAGCTCCAAAGTGTCCCAGGAAAATATCTCCCCACCAACACCAGCTTGAACCACTGAAAATATGCAGTGTGGATCCATACTTTCATATTTATGATACATTCTTACCCGGCCATCCGAATACTGCAGCAGAAATCAAGACTCACACCAGGCAATGCTTTTCTACATACCTTGGTTGTAACAAACCTTTACTTGAGATACTGTCGACTTCTTATCTGCTCAAAGCAGTCTGGCCATTCTCCTCTGACCTCCGGCATCAACAAAGCATTTTCACCCACACGTGAAATATCAAGTGATACTCAAAGCATTTCTTCTCCCTTTCAGACCATTCTCAGTAATCCCTAGGCTGTGTAGGAAAATCTCAGTAATCAGCAGTTCCTGAAATACTCAGATCAGCCCCTTCTGGGACCAACAACCATGTCCCAAAGTCACCTAAATCACTTTTCTTTTCCTGTTCTGATGTTTGCTCAGCAGTTTGTCTTTATCATGTCCACATCCATATAAGCACTGAGCTGCTGCCATGTAATTGGTTGATCAGAGATTTGCATTATTGGACAGATAAACAGTTAAACCTAACAAAGTGTCTGTTGGATGTATATTTGATGATGCTGTAGCTAATAAAGTTAAACACTTAATGTGCTCTATATGCAACTATTGTACTCATATTCTAAGGTAGCACAGATTTGTGATGGGACTCTCATTGTCATGTTAGATTCAGGTGTGTTTCTGCTTTTTATCTTTAGAGATGTTATAATTAAACATGGTCACTGTGTGACCTCACCAATGATGCAAAATGTTCAGGGATTTTAAAAAAAAGTGAGTTAAATGTCCCTGTTTTGACAAATATCCATTTTTTCTCTTAAAAGCTCTTTCTATACAAATATTTCCAAAATTAAATAATTAATTATAAAGGAAAATTAAACCAAAATGTTAAAACAGGCTTAAATGACCCAAATTTAATTAGAAATGACTGATCGTAGATCAAGTTGTAATGTTACCTCCAGTAAGAATTACCTTGTATTTTCTTGCTCTCTTTGTGGAACCACGCACAGTGACATCCCATTGAGTATTAGCAGAAATACTGGTGGTGACCAGTGGTAGCCCCCAGGCTCCCAGTAGATGCACCTATGGTTTCAATTTCAAAATCCTATCTTGCCTTGTTCTCAAGTTATTGCATTTGCAAGGTCTTCAGAAAACGACCGCTGACCTTCAGGCCAATGTCACTGAGATTTGAACATGTCCGAGATATAAAGCCTAATGATTCATACTTTGTTCAAGGACTGTATTAATTGCTTAGGCTATTTATGATTTGACAAAAGCAGTCTGACAAGTGTCAACAAGCTTAAAAGAAAGCCCAGAGGTCATTTGCATATTAATACAACAGATGGAGAACATGTGACCTTAAATCACCTTGAGGATCAAAGTATTTCTAATACTTAAAAAAAGAAAAGAAAAACATACATAAGAACATATGAAATCACCTGCAGTCTGAGCCGGGTTGATTCCTATTCCATCTGCAAAGCAAACATTAAAATGAGAATGTAAACAGAAAATGCAGAAAATACAAGAAAAAAACTGTTATCCAAAAGACAAGCAAAGAAATAAGAAATAAAATGTATTCAATAACTGGTTCATTTGTAATAACAGTTCACTCAGCAGCAAAACTGACAGCAAAGGTCTGGAACAATGACAGACGAGCCATTTTTCTTTTGATAAATTTAAAACTTATCTTTGAACGTATCATCACTTCAGTCATTTTAACACAAACCTTATCTTTATGTTATCTGTCAACACAATATGTCCCCAAGAAAGTAATCTTTCTGTGATTATTACTTGCTGCGCACCTGCACACAATAATTATTATTATTGTGACAATTTAAAGGGCCCAAAGAGTGCCAAGAAATTATGCCCCACACCATCACCACCACTAGCCTGAACCTTTGATATGAGGCAGGAAGCTTCAGTAATGGTCATACCAACCCCTGACTGCATCAATTTAACATTGCAGCAGAAATCCAAAATCGTAAGATCAGGTGTCATTCGTCCGTACAATTTTGTTGAGCTTGTGTGAACTGCTCAGCTTTTTTTTTCACAGCTGATAGGAGTAACACCCAGTGTAGTCTTCTGCTCCTCTTAAGGATCAACTTGTCACGCTTTCAGAGATGCTCTTCTGCACATCTTGGTTCTAACAAGAGATTATTTGAGTTATTTTTGGTTTCCTATCAGCTAGTGGAAATCTGCCCATTTTCCTTTGGCATTTTCAACCAGAGACACCCCGCACCCAAATTCTGATCCTTATTTTGAACTTTAGCAGGTCCAGTCTTGACCATGACCACATATCTAAATGTATGTTTGATGAGATATTCCCATTACGCTATGTTTGCTTGCTTTTGGTGATCAATATATCATTATATGTGACTTGACAGTACTTCAAGCATCAGCTTATTTCCAGACTCGCTCTGTAGTTCAAAGATCACAGCAAGCACGCCTTCACTTTGATGCATCTTCCACACATCCTTCCAGCTTTTTGTTGACTTCAAACCTGCCTGTCAAAACACTTGGCTTGTAAAAGCACGAGACTCTCTGTAACCATAAAATGGTTCCTAATAACTCGAGTTCACTTGGAACATCAAATAAATAAATAAATAATTCTGTGTACTCACCATTTGTTATTATTGCACTGGTTGCTGACGGCACTTTAAACTGGAAGAGAAATTGAAGCAGATACCAATGTTAACATTAAAAGTGCATTTCTCAACAGAAGTTACCATTTGACATTTCAGCAGCACTAATCCATTCTAGTTAAATAATCAGGGACATGTTGCTCCCATATTTCACTTGGCCTGAAGACAAAGTGTGAAACTAAAACTACCATGAAAGACAGCTTCATCTACTGAATCAGCGCGCTGCCGTTCTCTGACCTTATTGGGTAACAGTTTCAAAATAGAAGCGAGAGCTACTACATGATGTCTTCACTACCATAGTGAGTAAAACAAGCAAAAACAAAAAACTCTTTTGTTTTTGTCCTTTGTCTCCCGACTTTCACGCTTATCAGACACACAAGTGTTTTGCGGTTTCACACAAAAATGCACCTGAGCACACACAAACACGCACACATTCAAATAAACACTTTAGAGAGGGCCTGTGGGAAAGATAGCCACGCTTGAATTTCTGGAAGAAAATCACTGAGCACGGTTACAATACATGTCCTACTTCAGTGTTCGGCAGAAGAGGATATGGGCTGGTGGGGATTTGCTGCAAACGGGTGGAGGAAGCAGTCTGTCTCCAGGGAGATAAGGTTAGCAAAGTGCTGCTCACCAAACTACTGGCTTGTGTAGCACAAGCAGCACACATGAAACAGTTTGATCAGAGACAAATGGGAGGTGATGAGCTTTGTTTTTGTGGCAGAAAGAAAAAAAAAAAAAAACTCCTAAAGGATTAAATATAGCATATAAATGAGTTCAAACCACCCGCCTGGTTGGCTGGTTTATGATAAAATATTTAACATTATATCTTAAAGAAAATACAATCATTTTATTCTGCCAGTTGAACCATAATAAAGAAAATGTAAAATATAAAGCTACTAACACAAAAGCAAAATCTGTGTTGATTAATAAATAAATGAAAGTGAACTTACTACAAAATATCAGCAGTATAATTCCACTCATTCCTTCAAATTCAATTTTATTCATATAAAATTGAGCGCTTGAAAAAAGTTTCTTCCTACTTTTATTCACTCTTAGCAGAAATGTACAATTTGTAGTCGAAGTAGAATACACAGTCCTTGATGAGTAAGAGCAACAAGGCAGCAATATGAAGCCACTCAAGGAAACTACTCCCATGGTTAAGTAATTCAAAGGCTAACATTTGTGGGAAAACAATGGTGAAATCTCTGTAGTTCTACTTAACCATAACTGTATTCTCCTCACAGTAAATTAACTTCTAGCAGCACGCATGTTCATTGCATGCAAATTTGGGGATCACAATGTGAAAATTACGTTTCATTAGTTTCCTGGTTTGTAACAGAATGAGATTAATACCCTGTCAACACACTGAAAAGGAGCACATCTGCAGCCGCAGCTTTACTCATTCATTAGGATGATTTAAGCCGCAGTACTGCTGCGTGTTTATGCACAGAAAAGGGAAGAAAATACACTTCAAAGGCTAAAGAGAGGCTTTCGGTGACAGCAGACGGCTCTATTGATTAAAATATAAGTGAACCCGTTGTGTCAGACTGAAAAACGTGGCTGAAAAACACATCCAGTCTCTGAAACACTTACTGCAACAAGACTTCATTTTAGTCTATTAAAAGGTACAATTGTTTATACTAGAATTTTGTAACTATAAATAGATAAATGTTGCAAGGGTATGTCACAATCAAAACCATCAAATATAAAACTGTTTGTAAATTAGCTGACATATATTTTCACATGTACCATAGATCTGTATTAAGCTGAACAGCATTACTGCGCAATGCAATTATTCCACCGTAGTCTTGCACAAAGAACAAGGAGAAACAGCTTACCTCCTCAGCTGCAAACTTCAAAACCGCTGTGAATGGTGTGCTCTCTGGGACACTTAGTCTGCAACAGACATATTAAAAGGGATTTTAAAAATGCTCTAAAATAACATTTTTATTTTATAAAATGCCTACTATTTTACAGTCTTGCGAAGAAGAAGGTTTACACAGATCTATGTAGTCTAGTGAAGAACTAACTACATCCTTACTGCTAGCATAGGAATTAAGAGGGTAAAGAGCAACCAGGTGCAACAAATCAAAACTTATCAAATGTGAGCAGCTCTATAAAAGCACAAGGTGTGTGCTACCACAATCTTCCCAGGAGTGGACATCCCCACAAACTCAGACCATGCAAAGCTCAGAGAACTTGCCAAAAATATAAGAGCAACATCTGAGACTCTACAGGCCTAAACTAAAATGTTAAATGTTAACATTACTGACAATATGGTGGGAAAAATACAAAACAAGTACACAAAAAGTAACCAACTTGTGTTGCCAGGACAAAGGCTCTTCTCTCTAGAAAGAACATGGCAGCGAAGGTTTGCAAAGTTGTATCTAAACAAACACCAAACCTTCTGGAACAATGTCCTTTAGTTAAGACCAAAGTGGAGATGTTGCCCATAATGCACAGCACCACGTTAGGCAAAAACCAAATACAGCATTTCAGCACAAACACCTCATACCAACTGTGAGTACAGAGGTGGTTTACAGACACTGGACCTGGACACCTTGCAGTCATTGAACCAACCGTATTTTGTATACAAAAATATTCTAGAGTCAATTGTGAGGCCAACTGTCTGACATCTAAAGCTCGGCTCAACTTGGGTCATGCATCAGGAGAATGATCCCAAGAACAGCAGCAAATCTACAACACAAAGGCTAAAAAGAAAAGAATACATGAGTTGCAATGGCCCAGTTAAAGTTCACACCTCAACATACTGGCCAGGGCTGGTCCTTAAGAGTGCATAAAGAGTTAGACACACAACACTGTCAGATGGATGCTTCTCAAATGAATTCTGCAGAGCAGTGCTCAGTGGGGAGCAGAGATCTCCCAAGGGCAACCCAAAAACCACCAGACTCTTTAAACAGATGTGAGAGGTTTTTTTTAAATAGATAAAAATGTAAAAAAAAAAAAATCAAGGCCAGAAATGCAATTGCCAAGTAAGGTAATGCAGTGGAGGTGAGCTCTAGAAGGTGAAAATCAATGGATGTAGTCAGCATTGCAGTATAAAGAGAAAGAAGCTAAGCTTAAGCTGAATCTTCAGCCTATTTGTGAGAATGAAAACCAGGGAGATTATAAAGATGACCTCAGTGTGTTAACTGAGAGCCAGTGGTAACCTTTTTTTGAATGTCTGACAGGGCTAATGCGATACCTCATTA